CATGAAAGGAAAGGTATTGAGTTGGTTTAAATCATACATAAATGGAAGATATCAACAACTAAAGATCGGAGACAAAATATCGGAGAAGGCGTTAACGGAATACGGAGTACCACAAGGTTCGGTTCTGGGTCCCTTGCTTTTTATACTGTACATAAACGATATTGTAGGAGTAAAAACCGATGAATCAACAGTAAAACTATTCGCAGATGATACAATGATATTTGTAGTAGGAGAGAGCGCAAAAGAAATAGAAGCCAAATTGCAAGCAGCGCTAAATAAGTTGGAAGATTGGCTAGATGAGAATAAGCTAAAAATGAATGCAAATAAAACGAAATATATGATAATAAGGAATAATAGGAAACAGTTAAGTAGGGAAATTAGAGTAAACACTAGAAAAGGAAATGAACTTGAAAGAGTAACAATAATGAAATATTTAGGAGTTATATTGGATGAGCATTTGACATTTAAAGAACACTGTGACTACATATTGAAAAAAGTCGGAAAAAAAACTAGTTTCCTGAACCGAATAGGAAATCACATATCGGCATATACACGATGCCTGGTATATAAAACGATTATAGCACCTCACTTTGAGTATTGTGCTACAATAATGATTAATATGGGGAAAACTGAGTTGGAAAAATTGCAGAAGGCTCAGAACCGGGCTATGAGAACAATATTACAAGTGAACAGATATACGAGAATCAGAGATATGTTAGTAGCACTAAGTTTTATGTCAATAAAGGAAAGATTAGAATTTAATGTGAGCGTCTTTATGTATAAGTTAGTTAACGGCATGGTGCCAAACGAGCTGAGCAGTGGATTGGAACTAGTGGGAGATAGGATGGGGGTGAGAACGAGGCAGGCGGAGAATATAAAGATAGACTTTAGAAAAACAACAAGTGCACAACATAGCTTAATGTATGCCGGGGTAAAAATGTATAATGATTTACCTGATAAAGTAAAAAGTGCTGCAGATCTCTTTAACTTTAAGAAAGATATAAAGGAATACATATTAGGCAAGAGATAGATGGTATACGTATATATTTTATTATTGTTTGTAATTATAGTTTATTATTGTAATTAAGTTCGGAATACTATTATTATCACTACTGTTATGTAATAGTCGAGAAGACTAAATAAACTAGTATCTCTC